CAATTTTTGCTTAGCTCAGTATCATGGACAAATAAATATGCGATTAAAATTTCAGTTGTCATATGCTTGTACACCTGTTTTACGTAGAGGTCTCAATGCCCAAATTACTAAATTATGTTGGAAACTGGACCGGTCCACTGACCCGTCACAACCACGGGTATGGGCTTGCTTGGCTTCAATGCCCAACATCAAAGGTGGATCGGCCGTCTTGGACCATGCCAACCTGTGCTGCATTTTTTTTTTTTTTTTTGGTTGTTTGGGTTGCCGTCGACCCAATTTGACATCACTATTTGTTATACTGACAAATGTTTTGAAAATCAGCCCGATAATCAAACTGGAAAAGGTGAAGGTCATGGGTCAAAAGGTTTGAATCGGGATCAAACCAGATGCAATAAATACATACAAAAATAATAAAATGCTTTGAAAACAATAATTTTTTCTTTAATTTTCATATTGATAATTCAAAGTAAATCTATCTTTGTTAATTAGATTTATTATCCTACAATTAGTCTTGATACTTCAAAAATTAAAATGTTAAAATAGTTTATTTTGTTAAATTAAAATATTTTACAGTTATAGAAAATGATATTTAACATGGATATACTAATAATCAAATGTAATTTAAGTTAAATTTGAAAATTAAATAAATGAAAAGATGAAGGTAAATATTACGATTTAGTTAGTTGGAATTCAAAATCAAATTATTCAATTAGACATAAATTTGAAAAATGATTTTGATGGGCATTTTAATATTTTTTGTTATGTCACTATTCACATTAGAAGTTCATGAAACCATTAGAGATAAGTACAATCATAAAATGCACTATTTCACATTGAAAGATCATGCCATTAGAGTGAAGTCCATCTACAAAATGTAGTATCCCACATTGAAAGTTAAGCAACTTACAAAAATACTCTTAAAATTAGAAGTGTTTTGAAAAATCATATGAAAAGTTTTGAGGAAGTAAAAAATATTGTGTAAAATGAAAAAAGTGACACAATGTCACTTTTTTTATAAAAAATTGTCACTTTTATTTTATTTTTTTGAGAAAATGAAAAAAGTGACATGAACACTAAAAAAGTGAGAAATACCAAAATAGCAACATCCATTTGGAGAGCACCACTAATCACATTCTTAATATAATTAGCATATCTGGGACAATTCAGTGAACGTAATAGCGGTTCTTAACATAATCAGCATGTGGATTGTCCACATCCTAATTATATTAGGAAAACATAACATATTATGTAACTTTTTTATCTTCTTCAAAAAGTGATAAATATTTAAAAAAAGTGACAAAAACTTAAAAGGTGATTAAAAAAATCCAAAAAGTGACACGAAACAACTTTTAAAAGTTTAGTGTCACTTTTTTATTAAAAAATGACATACAATCTCACTTTTATTTAAAAAAAAATGATGTTTGCTACTAAAAGGTTATAAAAATTTCAAAAAGTCGACTAAAAAAAAGTAACGAACAATAAAAAAAAGTGACAAAATTTCAAAAAAGTGACAAATTTAAAAAAGTGACGAATTTAAAAAAGAAATAGAAATCAAGAAGGTGACAAACATTAAAAAGTGAAGAAAATTCAAAGAAGTGACGGAAATTTAAAAAAAGTGACGAATTCAAAAAAGTGACACAATTTTAAAAAAAGTTACATGGATTAAAAAAATGGAAAATTGCATCCGAAGTACCAAACCTTTCATTTCTTAGCAGACTTTGCCCAAACCTTTGATTTGTGCCAACGTGAATACCAAACCTTTAAAAAATATGCAACTCAAGTCCAAAATGACGATTTCCGTCTATTTGACCTCAAAATCCGTCAGTTGACCCCAAAATCCTTCAGTTGACCCTAGAAATTAAAAATTTAATAATTTGACCACATAAGACAAGACTAAAATGGTCCTTTTACCATTTTAATATTAATTAATTAATTAAACTAATATATACACACACACATGTACATACAACCTCTGTATGTATTTCTTCTTTCTTCTCATCCTCACATACCCAATAATGGGGAAAACCAGTCTCACCATATGCCACCTGCCACCCACCGCCGGTAGTGCCACTACCGTCCGGCCATACCCATAAATCATTGCCCCCACTCCCACCCGTAAAAAATTTGGAGTAAAAGCTTCCCATTATCAAATCTTAAGTTCCCCATGGAATATGAATGGAAAATATTTAGGAGATTTAGAAATTGGAAAAGGAGCAATTTTTGATTTCCAATTCTAGGGTTCTTCGTGAATTTTGATTTGGTGGAAATGAATTACAGAAGCTTTCAAGGGATGAAAATTAGGGTTTGAAAAATATGATTTCCTTAAGTGGTGGGTAGTTGTAGCACGCGACGGTGGGTGTTTGTAGCACGCGATGGTGGGTGATTGTAACAAGCGATGGTTGGTGGTGCTGTGTTTTGGTGGGATTGAGGGATGGGGGTTGGGGTTGTTGGAGAAGATGACCAATTTTCCTTTTTCCTTTTTTTTATTGTTTTATATTAAAATGGTAAAATGACAATTTTAGCCTTGTCTTATGTAGTCAAATTATTAAATTTTTAATTTCTGGGGTCAAATGAAGGATTTTGGGGTCAAGTGACGGATTTTGAGGTCAAACAGACGGAAACCGTCATTTTGGACTTGAGCTGCATATTTTTTAAAGGTTTGGTACTCACGGTGGCACAAATCAAAAGTTTGGGCAAAATCTGCTAATAAATGAAAGGTTTGGTACTTCGGTTGCAATTTTCCCTTAAAAAAATGACACACACTCGAAAATTAACAAAATTAGAAAAAAAAAAGCGACAAACTAAAAAAAGTGTCAAATATTTAAAAAAAAGTGACGAAAAAAATGACATGCAGTAATCCACAATTTTCAATATAGACAAATTATCTAATAAGTTCACCGCTGATGAACAAATTAAAAATTGTTGAACTAACAACTTGGACAATATGATCATAATCCAAAAATTTAAATGCAAACAAGTTTACAATAAGCTCACAAGTCACAACTAATGAAAATTGATGACTAAACTAAGATGTAAATGTCAAAAAATCATATAAACGCTCATCATTGTTAATCGAATAATTTTTTTGCGGTCTTCAAATCATAACATATCTTAGAGTTTGCATACTAACCGAACAGTTTACCAAACTCGAACAATATTTTGAGTACCCCGAAAATCATTGTGATATAAGAAACATTGTTCTTTTGGGTTGGGGCACCGCATCAAAAACGTTGCATGCTAATTCTATCTTCCCGCAATCTAGGTACCCACATATTATAGCATTCCAGGAAGCAATACTATTCCCTAGCATCTATCGAAACAATGCATATCCCTGCTCCATATTCTTGGCCATTGCATAACTAGAAACCATTGCATTCCAAGATATCAAATCCTTCTTAGGCATTTCATCAAACACGCTCTGAGCCATTGCCAAAGTTATGATCTGAACAGAAATTTAGCTTTTACCTTTTAGCAATTATAAAAGGAGTATATATATTTGCGTACCAAGTTGAACAGATGAGAATTTAGAATGTGTTTCTAGACAGAGAAAGGCAGATATATATATATATAATAGAGAGAGAGAGAGAGAGAGAGAGAGAGAGAGAGAGAGAGAGAGAGAGAGAGATATATGAGGTGCTCCAAAGGGGATGGTGTATTGATTAAACCATTGCATTCCAAGATATCACATCCTTCTCTGGCATTTCGTCAAACACATTCTAAGCCATTGCTAAATCTCCCCGATTTCACATACCCCGCTAACAATCTAACATCGAATTCCAAGAAACAACGTTCTTCCCTTCAATTTCATCGAACACTCGACGTGCCATGTCCATATGACCCATTTTCAAATAGAAGTCCACCAAAGCAGTCTGAACAAACAACATTACAAAAACCATATTTGTATACAAAAATATAATCAAGTGCTAACTGCTTCAGGTTCTTGTGCAACATCCTTTCCGGTTTCCACCCAGGACCACGTCGCAGCAACCATTGCAAACGATAGTATAGCGGTGTTCGCTAGAAGGGTGAAACACTTCACGAGTACAAGTGCTATACCGAGCGGGCTCTCGATTGGGGATCTAGTGGTGGAACCGATTTGAGTTGTGAATGATTGTGGTGATGCTACTCTCTTCATTCACGAAGGCTTCATGAGTTTGGAGGTTTGGGGGAGGTTATAACATATTAATTACGTTGTTGAATGATTTTATTTATTAAATAGGGTATTAATCAAATTAGTAAATTTTTTAGGGCATTGGGCCTAATTTACCCTTGAAAGTTTATGAAACTATTTGAGATAAGTGCATCTAGGAGAATGCTATCCAATAATTCTCCATGGGCCTTTGAAATGTAGTTTATGAGGCCCAATCATTAAATTTTAACTTTATTAAACTATTTTTTGTAAGGAAAATAAAAAAAACCGCTACCGATTTTAACTGGTTTACGGTTGAACCGATCGATTCAATGGGTTTTAAGCGATTTTGTCATAATTGGTTAATATGGCATTACTGACCCAATTTTGAGCCTGGTGCCCGATTTTTCTGGTTGGACTAAGTCGATTTTGACAACATTGCTATTGACACAATGTTGCTATGAATTAGACAACCAGGACAATGAAATAATTGGGTGCCTAATAGAGTCAGGGTGTAATCGAGTTCAGAATTCTAAATCTTCCTATCATAAAACATTTGACATTTCACTAAAAATTTGAAGCGTTAAAATTTCAAAATTCACCACAATTTTTAGGGATCCTATCTAAAATTTTAACATTAAATTGTAGTGAGGTATCGATCACTTAAAAAAAATATATATATATATTAATAATAAATTATTATTATTTTTTTTTTAATTTTTTTTTTGGGGGTAGTAGAACACTCCGCATTACATATTTTCATTTTTTCTAAAACTAAAATGAAGCGTCTGCTGGCCCCCATTATTTTTAAT